GGGGAGAAGAAGGAAGAGGAGCAGGAGGAGGAGAAGAAGGAAGAGGAGGAGGAGGAGAAGGTAAAGGAGAAGGAGAAAGAGGAGAGTGAGCAGAAGGAGGAGAAGGAGAAGGAGAAGGAGGAGGAGGAGAAGAAGGAAAAGGAGGAGGAGAAGAAGGAGAAGGAGGAGGATGAGACAGAGGAAAAGAAGGAGAAGGAGGAGGAGAAGGAGAAAGAGGAGGAGAAAGAGGAGGGGGAGACAGAGGAGAAGAAGGAGAAGGAGGAGGAGGAGGAGGAGGAGAAGGAGAAAGAAGAGAAGGAGGAACAGGAGAAAACTCAACTAACTGAAGAAGTAAGATACATTTTATAGGACGAGTGGCCCCATACCCTCAATAAATCATGACAATGGAGAGGGAACAAAGAGATGGACCCTGGCATAGATGAACTACAAGAATTCTAATCAGGAATTCCACCATTTTTGGAAGCCATCTTCTTTCTAGAACAGTGGCCAATGTGAGAAACAGGCCACAAGGGACAGAGAGTGAGTACACACTTGCTAAATGTAAGAGTGGATAAGTGGATGAAAGAAAGAGACAGCTGAAATCACGGTTCTCCGAAGACAGGTGATGTGCTCTGGGTTGCAGCTGGTGGGCGGTGAGTCCTGGGAGTAAAGCTTGACCTATCAATTCCGGGGTTGCCTTCATCATCTCTCTCTATTCTTGCTTTCTCATGTATAATCTCATTCTATATTCTAAGTCTGAAGAAACAATACTAAACATCATTCATTATTGGATCCTAGTCTAATTAAACCAGCTGTAAAAGGCATTTCGAGGTCAAGTCAGAAACTGACCACCTATGGCTACTAAAAGACTGAGTAGCTGCTGGATCGGACCATTCTATCAGCTGAGATGATGGTATTTTGCTTACACAGGAAACTGTTCTTGTTTCCTAGGTGTGCGTACTATAATTTTTAGAGGGAAAAGTCATGACACTTGTAATTTTCATACTCCAAGGTGAAGAATTTGGCGAACCATTTAAGGTAACAGTTTAATACTATTGAATCTAGGAAACAAATATATGGGAATGTACTAGGTTCTTCTTTTTATGGAAATATTCATAACAGTAATAAGAAACAGGAAGGGAGAGAGAGACAGAGACAGAGACAGAGAGGCCAGCAAAAGCCTTGAATTCTCCAGGAACAACTTTGCATAATTAGGGTTTGAATGATATCAAAGAAAAAATTTTGAAACAGCTGTTTTCTAAGACATTTAACATCAACCCTGACTTATTAGTAGCGATAACTTTATTCTTAAACATGTTCAGATTGCACGCATTTGTACCCCGCCGAAGTCCACAGCATCATTTAGGATGCGTTCCTCTTTCAGTGTGCAGCGAACACTTTTCCTCCTGATGTTCCATGGAAACCGAGGGGAGGAGGATGCAAAGGATGAATGAATCTAGTGACTCCCAAGCTAGAGCAGCCTGTAGCTTTCTGCTGTTGGAAAATCTGAGCTGTGGCTCTCAGTTAAAATAGTGTTTGTTTGTTTGATGCTTGGGACAGGGTCTCACTATGTAGCCCCGGCTGGCCTCAAACTCATGATCCTCCAACCTCAGCCTCAGGAGTGCCGGGACTACAGGCGTGCACCACCCCCATTAAAGAAAGCGATCCTCAACACATTCATATAGCAGTTCTAAGTACATACCCGGGAAGGTTCACAGGGTGACTTGGCTTCTGCTTGACACTTTGTGGACCTAGATAAATTCAGCTGTTGGCCAGCTTGAGGCGTGGAGAGACAGCACTTCCTTCCTTCCTGTCTTCCTTCCTTCCTGTCTTCCATCTCCACGCTGACTAACAGAAGGGGAAGCATTTGTGTGGTACCCTGTGTAACGCTGGTATCTCCCCCAACTGTGAGATAGATCACACCTGCGAGCAGGAGGAAGCACCTGTGAGGCCACCCACTTCTAGCTGCATGTGTTAAAGGAACTGAAATGTACACGAGAAAAGCAAAACAGAGAGGAGGCTGTGGATTGACCACTCTGTTTGGAATAGGCAGACCTGGGTTTTGCCTCTAACTGGCTATCTGGCATCAACACAGCCTTGACCTCCCAAAGCTCTTTGATGTGGTCCATTATAATCAATCAAAAACTCCCCCTCCTCTTCTCTTCCTTCCCGCCTCCCACCCATCCATGCATTCATCCTTCCATTTCTTGAGTGTTCTTGAGGACTCAGTATGTGCCCAGTGCTGTACTCCACTAGGAAGAGAAATCTGCTGGCAGAAAAATGACAGACTTCCCCAAGCAGAGCCTGGTACTCTTGGACTGGCTTTGCCAGGCTCCACTCCCTGCCTCTCCTCCTTGTGCACAATTAATTGAGAATAACAGAGGCACTTTTGAGGAGGCCAGATCTCAGCTAAACCACAAGGAAACTACTGGGTATAGATCAATGATCAGCATAAAAGCAACCCAACAGCTCTCTTAGGGTTTTAAAGCTGACTTTGTATCACCGTGACCCAGGAGGCACAGCTTGCGGATCATTGACAGCAAATGGGTGGCTCGTGGCCTGTCTGGCTACAGTGCTTGAAATATTTCTTATACCACGGCCCATCAGAACTGGGGAAATTGGAGCAGGAGTAGGGGCAACAGATACTTTCAGAACAGTGGCACTGGTTATACAGTGGGGCTGCCCTCGGCCTTTGCTCCTTTGTGGCTTTTGCATGCCTTTGACCTCTGCAGCCACTGGATTTGGGGTGCTCATTCTAAACTAAAGCGCAAGTTTTTCCTTACACTGGGTCTCAAAAGGAAGCTGTTCTCTAACATGAGGGGCTGGGGGCAGGGGGAAGAGGAAGGCAAGGAGAGGATGCCCCCTTTAGCAACTTCCCAACTACAGCAGACTATTATAGTCCAGGAGTGTTATTTAATACATGGAGAAATCAAACTTCAGAGAAACGAGAGCTTCACTCAAGCCAAGTAGAAGAGGCCCAGTGCAGGTCTCCCAGCTCTGCCCTGCTGTTTTTTTCTCTTCTTTCAGATGCCCCACCCCCTGCAGCGAAAGTGAAACTGCAACTTCTATTAAACTGTGTTTCTCATCGTCTCTGAGCACAACTTTGGATGTACCATTTCCACTCCAAGTTGATTCTTTAAAGTGAAGTCTGTCCTGGCATTAGGAGCCCAGAAAAATGAGCTCCCAAGAGTAGGCTCATTGGCAGCGAACCCTGCAGTGCTTCTGCAGTTTGCCAAGAAGCAGTTCAGAGCTCGGAGCTCATCTCCCTCCTTCACAGAGAGCACGTGTATCTGCACGAGTGGACAAGGACAAGACAAAGGACAGGACTTCAGAGTCAAACTAGACCCAAGGCATCCTTTTCTATGACTGTTTCCTGTGCTGTAACCCTGAGCAAACTGCAGAACCTATTTCATACTGTTTGCATTGGAATGAGATGAGATAATGCCTAGACACAGCAAATACACAAAACATAGTAGTAACTGTAGTCATAGCTAAGTAAGGAAGTATGTTATGTACCTGAATTATGTTCAGTTGTGTTGTTTTGGAGAGGCCAGAAATATAACTCTTACCCACAAATTTTTGAGGGTTAAAGTCCCAACAGAAGTTTTGGACAAAGATCACAATGCAGACGCCTTCGAGAGAAGATGCATTCCAGTTGGCTCCTCCAGGGGCTGTTCCTCTGTCCTCCCCAGAGTGTGTTGCTGTGGAGGTGCATTATCGATGGTGTATTCCTTTTCTGATCTAACCAGCCAACAGAACTTCCTGAGAACAATATAGTGACTGCCTTCTTCCCTAGCAGGTATACCAACCATATCATTTCCATGACAAATTCATCCTTTACCGGCATGGGCCCTGGGGAGCTGCAGACAACCCCCCTCCATAGCCCCCCACTCCTATGTGACCGGCCACAGTGGCTGGAAGTGCAGAGCCTGATGATCTCCAAATGCTGGGGGTGTGCGAGGGCAAGGAGGATGCAGAGGACTTGGAAGCATTTGTGGTAGGACAGGAGACGACAGCCATCGAATGGAAGCACACACAGTATGGGAGTATTATGAGCCACCTGGGAAAAGCAAAGCAGGAGAAATGACTGTAGCGCAAGGTTTAGCTTTAACTTCAGCACAGCCACCCTGCCACCAAGAGCTTGTAGAATGAATTTTTTCCTGCTCTCAGTGACCATTCATTAGGACTGGCCGCTTGGCTGGATTAAGAGACACCAACTGGACCAGTAAAGTTTGCTCTGGGTGTATCTAGGTGAGCCATGAGGGCATGCCCCTGAGGATTCTACCTGGTTCCTAGCCTTTTCCTCTCTGGCACTCTTCCCCCATGCTGCTCTGCTTGCTGCATCACGGCCTTCTACCATGATGTTCTGCTGCATCTCAGATCCGTAGCAATGGAAACAGCCAACCATGGACTGAAACCTCTAAAACCATAAGCCAAATAAGCTTTTCCTCCTTTAACATGTGTTTGCCAGGCATTTCACCCCAGCAGTAGGGAGGGTGACGAGTACTGCACCATCCTCCAAAATACCGAGCTTCTACCAGCTACATTTGGAGCAGCTTGAGGGCATTGCTGCTTCTCTAATTCTGGAAGAAGATCTAAGAGGAAGAACCCAAGTGACATTTTCCTGTGAAATATTGCCCTGCCTCAGCAGTCCCTCAGCCTCTGTATGAACCTCTCCCTGCATGGCACAGAGATGGTCCCGTTGCTAATCCCTAAGACCAGCAAATTTCAATGAAAAGGGTTGTGCATTGTGCATTATTAGGGTAAGCAATCTTCTCAATTGATTTTTAGAGGATTTGCCTTTTTAGAAGACCTAAGGTTTATTCTAAAAAGGAAATCATTCTTGAAAGTTAAAAAACAAACAATTAGTAAAAGACACTAGTAAAAGAGAGATCACCAACAGTGTATTATCAGTATGATCTCAAGTTAGCTTTTTGTCAATAGCATATGTATATATGGATATAGTGCAGAATGTTTATGGTTGTTAAAGTTTTCTTGGTAGTGGTTAATTGTGACCTAGCTTTTCTTTTACCAATCTGTTCGTCTTTTTTTGCCTGTAAGTATGTATGTATATATGTACATATGTATGTATGTATGTGTTTATGTTCCCAGATTTAAAAGTCAGCTGAAGAAAAACGAACTAGTTGAAGTATCCTAAGGAGTAGGAGTGAGGGAAAGTCTGCTTTTCTGTGAATAGAATGGTTGTTGTTTCCCCTGGTGGCTGACAACAGTCATTGCTCCTAGCTGGCCTTTCAGGACGCGCAGACAGACCTCAGGTGCTGGGCAGTGACAACTTCATGGTCTCATCTCCCTACATTTGTAAACTCTGAATCTAGGATTCCCATGTCTGCTCTCTTCCTTGATAAAGCAAACACCCACAAGAAATGAGGATACTACCTTCCAAGCTAACTTAGTTAGGAATATAGGTACACTGTCAGTGCTTTGCTGAGTGAAATTGCCTGGGTCCTCTGGCCATTTCTCTAGCCATATCTCAAGTTTTTTTTAAGGCAGTGTGAGCCAAAGTCCTCTACAAACTGGCAGAGAGTAGGAAGAAAACCCCCAGAACTTCAGTCTCGAGTTGGTTTGCCAGTGTATTGGTCAGTTTTCTGTCCCTGAGACAAAATACCTGCAAAACTCAGCTTAGAGGAGGGAACAGCTTACTTTGGCTCATGTTTTTCATGATCAGCTGGCTCACTTTTAGGCCTATGGTAAGGCGGAAGCATCATGCCAGAAAGCTGTGGTAGAGGAAGATTGCTCACCTCATGGTGGCTAGGAAGTAGAGAGTGTAAGAGCCAGATGGGGAAGGATCAAGGACAAGACAGTCTCCAAGGTCATGTGCTGTGACCCACTCCCTTCAACTAAGCCCCACCTCCCACATTTGTATCATCTCATCAATTATGATCCCACCAGTGCATTAATCCATGAATGAGGTTAGAGCCCTCATGGTCCAACTGCCTGCTGAAATTGTCAGCTTGGAACACACGACACTTTGGGGTATCTGAACTCTCACCACCCAAAACAGAGGAAGCTGCACATCCTTCCCTGTGTTCAGACTTTTGATCTCATGAAAAATGTGAAAAGTAAGCTTTCAGTGCTAATTTACATATACTTTCACTGATGTTTCAAGCCTTAGTTTATACGCCTTTTCTACAGGAACAACCTCCCTGCCTCCTCAGGTTGGTAGGTTCTCCCAGTATATATTACCGCTGTACTCAGGTACTTTGTATTTTCACTGTGTCATGGAGCATGGCTGTAATAATTATGTGTGGTTTTTTTGTGTGTGACTCTTTATTCCTCCCACTTGACCACCAGGGGAAAGGCCATGTCTGTATCTTTGCTGTCATGTTCTCAATACATCCTTGTAGAGTTTGAACACAGATCAATAGTTCTCAAACAGCAGAAAGAATGAGTGAGTTAAACACTTCTCCAGGCCTTTTTGGAACTCTTTTATATTTGTGCTGGTCACCTTTCCATTACCTAACAAGAACAGTTCATTTTGTCTTAGTTTTGAAGGTTTGGGCACAAACTGGTTAGTGCCAGTTGCTTTGGAACCGTGTTGATGTAGCACAGAGGAGGGGCGCATGGCCCATCTTGTGTGCACGTCCCCCGTAACCTGCAGCCTCTCATAGTCCTCATGTCTTACAGCTTCCACCACCCATCAAAAGCACTAAGATGGGACACCCAGTCTTTAACACCTGGGCTGTTGGGGGACATTCAAGATCCCAACCATAGAACTACTTTCTGAAACTCAACTTCATGTTCACTG